TAGAAATTTATATTTTGGTTTTTTACTATGCACTTCATGTTCTACGAATCTTATGACCATTTTGAAATCTATATTTAATCAAAACCCGTTTTTAAACGTCGAAAAATACCAAGTTTGATGTATTAAATTTAAAGATTTAAAGTCCTAACAATCAATTATTACTCAGGTATCTTCAAATATAGAACACAAGGTTACGAGTGTTTATTTGTTTAATGCATTACAACATTATGTTGTTAATTATCTGAGAAAAAGCAGAAAGAAAGTAAAATATAAGCTTCATGTTGGATGAAATATACTAACTTTCTTATCAGCGTTGTACGTGTAAGAACCTCGACAGCAAAGTCATTGATAAGTGAGTAGCGTGAGTCAGTAACTTTAGGCCATTTGGCCTAGAATGATATGTTTTTTTAATGTTCGAGCAAAGTTATCAGGTTACTGGAAAAGTATTCAATCAGGCATCCTATAGATTAACTAGGAATTCTATACGACAACGCGACGCCTGAAATGAGTAATGTAAAATATGAAATAAATCTCATTACAACTTCGCCCAGTCACTCCATAGAATGACCGTTCGCAATTTAGTTAAAATACGAATAACGCTGTTGCAGGACTTCACAAAATGGTTATGTCCTTGTTTGGCCTAATTAAACTTATTTAAAATAAACTAAGATAAATGACGCAACCTTACTATATTCAACAAATTCTAAAGGACTTTTTAAGACCTTGCTTCCATTTTAGGCATTAGCATTAAATTAAAACTAACTTTAAACCCTAACCTAACCATACACAAAATATTCCAATGTTGTATAGTTTTTGCAACAAATATCATTATTTTATAGTTTGCCTAGCATACATGTGAACATTCTATTTTAAAATTTGTATTTCTCATTTCAAATTCATCTTACTAAATCAATCTTGTCTATCTCTCCCATTTATATCCAATTGCAAATGTGTCAAAAAACTAAATACAATGAACTGACATCAGCTGTTTGATATTTGAGTGCTCGTCATTGACAACATTTGATAAAACCTCGACGCGCTGGTGGCAGACTCATGTTGTCAAAACAATGTCAACTTGTAAATTTAAGTCAACCATTCTTTTTACAAGCCTTGATTCCGTCCAGACATTATTTTAAAGATTTAAAACACAGTTAAAGTTTCATTTTACGGAAATATTATATTTTAAGTGTAAGTTTAAGTAGCAAACAATAATCTAAAAATTGCTAGTGTTTGAAATTTCGGCGCTCTATAATAAACTGTTTGATTCCTGATTAATGAAGCAAAATTGTATATTTTTCTAGATTTGAACATTTCACATTGTGTGAACTATTAAACCCTTATGATAATACAAAATACCATTTCAAGGTGCAATAGAAAATCCAATATACATTGAATATACATTGACAATATACATTGGCTTAAAGGAAGCGTGAACCAATTTAATTTTTTGTACTTATTAAATAACTCGATTTCGGTATAACAATCCTGTAAAAAGCTAGGATAGGGATACGTGTTTTGAAATGAGATTACTATTTGGTCAGCCAATATGACCTTTTCGTGTTCCAAATATTCATTCGAATAATAGCAAAACGTTTAGACCAGCAATTTTGCTTATCGCAAAAGTGCAGCATGTTTAAGCGTAATCCAACAAATGCCAGTAATATTATGTTTTATGAATAGAAAAACAGAATTTACAATAACGTTGTTAAATCTTAAGTTGTTTATCGTGGTAAGTTCCTGGGCACATTCATAGTTTGTTATCAACAGTGTCACGAGTGAGCAGGTAGGCACAAATTCAACTGATAAGAAAGTTTGCGTGGTGTATTACAGTATGCAAAATTACAGCCCAGTTAAAAATTTGTTACTAAGACCCTGTAACACCTATAGAAGCAATTGACACGTTTTAATTTAGTTCCTATGGTTTAAGATAAAATAATTAGTCCAGCAATGGATAAATAAAATTACAAAAGTTAAATGGAATTGGTTCTGTATATAGTTTAACCATGTAAAAATGCTAGACAGACTTAACGCAACACATGCCAGCTTACTATAATTTCTACATGTTTCGTTCAATGTTACTAAGCGAGTTCTAAGTAGATTATATGGATCTTTATTTGTTTAGTATATAACTTAACACTTTTTAATGTAATAATACTATACCCATAGAAAGGGTGTATGTTTACTATCAATGTATGTACACCGGACTTCTGAAGTTTGTCCTTATCCGAATATACTTAGTTCTAAAATCACAAATTACGTTTAATTTTTTTATGAACTCGTCCTATATAGTGTAAGTGGACATGTTATTTGTCAGTATTTTATTTTATTACTGCACCAAATCGTAGGTTCACGGGGTGCTCAAAATTATGTATTCTTAGAACACAGTATTTTTACCAAAAGAGTTCGATTCATTATTAAAAATACTACTGTATTTGTTTCCTGCAATTAAGAATATGGGGGACTACCTGCAACTAAATTTTAGAGGAATGATGATTTGTACATTTTGAAATCTCACATTATTATTTGTATAAGTAATATTTACATGGGAAACTGTTATATTGTTACCTTTTTCACTTACCAAACATAATATTGAGAGTCTGTAAACATGCATATATACATATACTAATTAACAGCTAAATATATTTACACATTTGTTTGATTTGTACACCCTCGAGTTTGACTTTCCTCAATAATTCTTAAAAAAATACGATCATTATAACTTTATTTTATGCATATATAGCGTGAAAGACTTACGTATTTCAATGTATTTATTGTGCTAAACTATTAAGCGTTGTAAGCAATAGATGTTCGTGCAAAAGTGTAAATGAGAAACAGATAGGTTGTACAGAAACAGTGTAAACTAAGCTAGCGTTGATATTTGTCAATACAGATCCCATTGTAATACTTGATATATATATTTACATTGACACAATTTAACATTGACACAATTTTATATCAACTTTTAAATTTAATCGATTGGAAAACTGTAATAAATTAACACAATTATTTTAATATGCCACCGGATTTTAAATTCAAGTTTAGGAAGTAGTTGAGTAATTGAGGAGTAGTTATACGTAAGATATTTATTCAAACTCAATTAAATTACTAGGATGAATTATGTATTGTTGCTTTTCCGAACTTTGCATGTCTTCTAGTAGTACTTGACTCTATATCAGGTGACGCTAATATGTCATCAGAGCTAAAAAAAAAAAACTGACGACTTATTTTCATACATTAATCCATCACGTAAGCTCTAGGGCCTCTTTTATTCATTATTTATTTAAGAGATTTTCCGCAACTTAGCAATTTAAGTAAACTCTGCTTGTATGCTGATGATACCAATTTGAAAATCATAGCCTCAACAAATGAAGAATTAGAAAGCAAGGCAAAATCAGACATATGCGTTTTAAATGATTTTTTAAACTCCCAAAATCTAAATCTCAATGTGGATAAAACAAGTATCATAAATTTTCAAACTCGAAATACCAGAAATCAACGTCGACCGATTATTAAATTTAATAATAAAACCATTGAAGTTAAGGATAGTACTAAATTTTTAGGATTAGTAATAGATAAAAGACTCAATTGGAACTGTCATGTTGAAAAAGTACTTTCAAAAGTTTCTTCTGGATTATATGCCTTAACTAGATTAAAAAACTATTGCGAAATAGAAACTTTGAAGTTGGTTTACTTTTCATACATACATTCAGTGATTTCATTTGGGATTTCCCTTTATGGCTCAACCAATAAGAGAAACTTAAAATCTATATTAAGAATGCAAAAAAAAGCTATAAGAATAATTTACAACCTTCCACCTAGAACTTCTGTTAAGAGAATGTTTAAAACAGAAAATATAATGACAGTTTTCGGTATGTATGTTTTTGAAACAGTGGTATCTGTTAAAAACAGATTTCATGAAATAGACCTGGTTGGAAGAAAACATGATTATCTTACAAGAAATCGAGGCAAGTTAGCATTAAGTCCTCATAAATTGCGCCTTTTCGAAAAAAAACCCAAATACGCCGGAACAAAATTCTATAATAAACTTCCAAAGGACATACAAGCAGAAGTAAATATAAAAAAATTTAAAAATAAACTTAAGAAATTTCTCATTAGCAGGGCTATTTATTCATTTGATGAACTGTAATTGACTTTTCTTTCCCTACTAATCAAAGTATGTTTTACCTGTTAGTTTTATGTTCTTTTACAATTTTTCCCATTTACTATAAGCATGTATGTTTTATTATAACTTATAAGAAATGTGACACTATTCATGTATATATTTCTAATGTACTTGATGAATAAAGATAATTTGAATTGAATTGAAGCTCTTGTTATTGTTAATACGTGTTATGATAGCTATCTTTGCCGTGATTCCATTAATATTTTCAATTACCACTTCCCATTGATAAAATGAGGCGGTGTTGTAAATTACTCTTTTCTTTCTCAATAAGCTATCTAATTAAAGAAGATTGATGCCAAATACTTTGAAACTGTTTAAAATTATATTATAATGCCACATCACCTAAATCATGACAAAAACAAACAGGGGATGTATAATTTTAGACTTCTTATGAATTTTAGAATTTTAATGAGAAAGGTTCATTAAACAATCATTTTTGCAACAAAATAATTAATTTACTAAAACTAATTTAGAATGATCTTACGTCTGCTTCAATATCTAATAGGCAATGGTAGAACATACAATTTGGTTTAAAACTAAGCCAGCATCTGTATTACTTTTTGTGAAACGTATGTTTGAAATTCTCTAGCTACTACCTTTTATTAAGGTTTATTTTTCTTTATTGTTTTATTGTTCAAGGTTGTGAGCAATGTATTCTTACAAGTCGTGCCACATGACCACAATAAATCTAAAATATTTGTACTATATACATCTAAATGAGATGATATATTGTCACTGTTTCTGTACAACATATCTGCCTTGTTTTCAGCGAGATAAAGAGAGAGAGAGAGAGATAGAGTGACAGAGATGGAAGTACCGTCTTGACGAATGTGACCGTCTCTGAGGTGGCGTCGGTGAACGCTCTGCGCAGTTTGGTTCTCCGGTTCTGACTGAGCGTTTGGGGGTTCAGGAGGATCCCCTGTCACAAACATCTTGGTTTTATTTACAGCAACACCCATGCAACATTGCTCACCCAGTAACGCCTTGGAAGAACGAAATATGTGTGTTGAAACTAGGTGAAGACTTCGTAAGAAAATGTGTTTTTAGGTCATTATTTCACCCATAAACGACTTAGACAGTCTTTAGTAATTTTTCGAGTTCTATACAAATTCAGGGAAGTTACTTTATACCCTTAACGAATTAAAAGGTGTTTCCACTAACAAAAAAAGGATTTAGGAAAATAGTTATTTTATTCATTGGTAGCTTCAATAAATCATCGCTACTTCCAAAGGTGAAAATACCTGATTTTAATACATTCAGGAAACGCTAAATCAACAACGCTATATTAACGCTCAGTACAAATTCACGACTGTTGTCTTGAAATTAATAAGTTTGACGAAAGAGGGAAAGTGTCTTAAGATCTGTCAAAACGTCTTTTAGTGCAATATTTTTTTTGAAAAACGAGAAAACCAATAATAATAATAATTGCATTTAAACAAATACTTAAGATTAGTAGTAGGTTTAGTTCCGGGTAGAGAAGGATTAAATCACTTAATTTCATAGGTGCTTTAAATTGCTTTTTGTCTAAAACCAGAAAATGTAGCCAATGTTTCTTTCTTTGTTTTGAATCTGACCCGTGATTGTAAAAGTGATATTGACAATATTTAATAAATGCAAGAAAATATATGTGAACTCATAAAACAATTAGCAGCCACAAATTTATGAAAAATGAGTGGTCTCGTAAATATAAACTAAAAATCTCTGTGTTTGGTGACAACTGTTTTGTAGCCTAAGTCAAATAAAAAAAGGCTTTATGACTCATAAAGAAGCTGATTCACTAACAGTCTAGCGTTTTACTAGTATTCGAGTTTGGTATTTGTAAAAAAATAGATAGAACAACACACCTTTGATTCTGATTTTGATCAAAGGACAATGAAGAAAACAGATAAAGGAGATGTAGTATACAGATAACGAGAAAGAACAAGAAACAGTATATTATATAATAAGACAAAAAAGAAAGATAGATAAATATAAAGCGAGTATAGACAGAGGAAGAAAAGTGAAACCAAGAAACATTACAATACAGGTAATTTACAAAAAGAGAATCAAGGGTGAAGCACATGTCCAACCAAACGATGATTTGTATTTACTCTAACTATAAGCATTGGATCTACATCACTAGGTTTTGGATAAAGATACCACAACAAAGCAAAAACGTTGGGTTATCAATAATGGCCAATGGGGTTTTAAAATAATTTAATTGGGATAATACGAAGGTTAACATAATATTCCTACTCCGTATGAAATTGAATCAACCTCAGTGTTTTATATTTTGCACTTTGATGTCAAATTATTTACTTTTTGTATTAGTTTATATAGGACCTACATATGACCTATATCATTTTGTTACGTTCTTATTGAGTTCATCACGTTATTAAGACATGAACCAGTTTTTATCTTCGGCATAAATTAACGATTAAGTACATTGCATATCAATCATACATTTTTTCGATAATTTGCAAATTAGTGTGATATCAATAAGAAAATGTATAATAATTTTAAATTGACCGTAAAAATTATCATGTCTAGTTTTAAAACACAAAAGGGTGTGAAAATAGAATCTATAGCATGGTACAGGGTTCGGCAAAAAACCGATCTATTTTCTTCAGCGCACTGTTCAGCGACAGGCCGTCTGAGGGTGGTGGGAGTAGCCTCGTTGGATAGCCTATACAATGCCATTTTTGTAGTCATAGAGCAGTGGTTGTATGAGATACGTGCGGTTGTTTTCTAGTCGTTTTTTAAAAGTAGTAAACAGTCATTCAAACTCAGTGGCAGTTCAGTGATTTTATTCTATTAGGTCGACATGGAGAGATTCCGTCGTGATTATCTATATGGATAACACATTTAAACAGATTATTATTCTAATTATCTGTAGGAATGAAAATTAACCTCAAAATTCGTGTAACTGAGCAGTCAGACATTTTCGGGCAGCCGCTTGTTTTGGGGCGGGTCTGTGAGGACTGTCTTCCACAGCAGCACGAACTCTATCAAATGTTAGTTGTCTGGGGTCCGATCTGACTTGAACGGCCTTTCAGCTTCCTTTTCAATGCAGAAGCCGTTTTTTTAAAGTTAGTAACCCACCGCATTATTGTAATACGCAACGGAACTTCTCCATGTCACCTAAATTGAAAGAATGCATGAAACTGCCGATGCCGCTGAGTTGCAATGAATGAGTTAAATACTTTTTAAAATCAACTCCATAACAACCGCACTAGCTCAGGTGACCACTGCTCTATGACTACAAAAAATTGCATTGTGTAGGCTTTCCAACAAGCCTACTCCCACCACTCTCAGACGACCTGTTGCTGAGAAAATGGATCGGTTTTTTTCCCGCACCAAGTATTAGTAAATAAAGTTACTGGGAACAACAAATTTTAAGTGGTTTTTAGATTACGAAAACTATCTTTGTGGACAAACTTTTTTTCATCAGAAAGTGAATTGGTGAGTCATCAAACTCAGAACCCACCTACGTTCATGTCTTAGCCTACCAAATAACACAACCCGTTGTGGTGGGGTTTGGCTGCCATATGTACAAGCAGTTTTACAGGTCATGCACACAGGATGGCATTTAAACTTTAAAGTACATAACACTTATCACATATTTCATACATCTAAGGTGCCCTGGGTGAGCAATGGTAAGTCAACACCGTGCAGAGATGAAGGTAAGTAGGAAGTTAATAGTTTAGTAGAATTTTCCACTAATAGTTTTTAGGAATTGAATCATAAAACTTTGTAATTGAATTTTAGATGATTGTTTCACGTATATTAAGTTTAAGCCATGAGGATTATACAAATTGCTGTTTGTTTTAATACTGTCCTATTGAAACAAGTAGAGTCTATTTAAATATAGTTTAGTTTAGGTAATTAGGAATTACTCTACCTATTTGTTGACCTAAAAACAAAGATTCAGAATTAATAAAAGCTTATTAGGTTTTGATCCGTTTAAGCAACGAGAAAATATATTTTCAGAGCCAAAGAGCTGTTAAGCCTTACATTTTATAGAATATTCATTGCACGCCATGCTGGCGTTATATAATCATCTTGAAAATGAATAATTGATTAAAGTAAGACATTTTTCATACTTTATTATCTACAAGTACGGTAAATTTGAATCTTAATTTTAAACAAATTCCTATTATATGTTAGTAAACATTAAGCTCCATACTATATTTTTTTTTACTTTGAAAGTCCCTGACAAATTAATTAACTTTATAACAAAAAAATCTGATGAAAATTAGATTTTTCCAAATACTTTTTTTTACTGTATAATACTTGAAAAGCTAAAAACAAATTGTTACAGTCAACAATATTTTAGAGTGAAGATACTTTACATTTTTTTAGCTATGCTATTATATCAAAAGTATTTTTGTAAAAGTGTTTTGGAAAATGTGCAAAAAGCAAAAACTTGCAAAAGTCACTGGGTATGCCAGAATTTGACAGATGCGGATTAAATATATGCCACACAGATATTACAAAGTTATTTAGGATTGAAATCAAGACTACAAACACTCTGCTAAGTAAAACATTATCTAATGCACACAGAACACACTAAAATCTACGAAAAGTGTGTAAAAAATGTAAATAGTAATTTTATTATTTTTAATAAGTGTGCTGCATTACTTGTGTAAGTATGCTGAAATGATTTGTTCTGTGTGTTGTTTCTTTAAATATAAATGTGGTGGCACTGTTTGAATGTTATTAAAACGTTTAATAATAGAAGAGAATAATAAGCCTTATTAAAGAGTTTACAATGACAAAATGCAATTTTATGTGTCTTGACAATTATTTTATGGTGCACTGTGTTTTGTCGTCTTACAATTGAATGTAATTTCTATCCAATTATTGTACTTGTAAAAATGTAAAAAAAACAATCAGTATAATTATATCAGACAAATTATTTATAAAATAAATAATCATATGCAAACAATGCATGTAAAAACTGTATACTACGAGTAATTTAGTGTTAAAGTGAAAAAACGATGGAATAAAAACTGTATTATTAAAAATACTAAACGGTAACAATCCAATCGACCTTCATCTCTACATGTACAATGAAATATATATAAGCTATATATATTTGATATGACTAATAACTATACATTACGCTAAGTAATGGCATACTACATGTAGGTTCAAGTAATACAGTTAACTTGAGAGGCTTCAATTTCAAACTTTTTATTGGAAGAGGATATTATAGAGAAATAACTCCAATTTAATTACCAAAACACCAAATAATATGGTAAATGAATCGAATATAGGGTGACATTAGGTAAAATACCTTTCTACTTGTTTATAACAAAGTTACAAATAATTACAAAGGGTCCAAAGAAAAATAGCTGCAACATTGAAAGATTCTTCATGATAATAATTACTAGATTTGCATGTTCAGTTGCAATAAAAATGAACATTATAAAACTGAAAACACTGGTATATTATATAATGAGTATTAATGGTAATGTTGTAAATACATATTAAAAATATTAACATCTAAAATACACACAGACAGTTTCAAGCATCTAAAAAGCGTACAACATTTATGTCATGCTATAGGAAGAACATGCTTGTTATGTGGGAAATCAATTAAAGCAAATACATGCAATTAATTTAAACATACAACATACATTTTATAAGGATTAGTGAATACATTCTCTAATATTTATCTACAATAATTACAACATATTATAACGCAATCACTACACAGATTGCAACTAACTAACTATCAACTATACTCTAGATAGCGATGCTAGCCAAGAAATTGCTATATTTAGCTTTGGGATTAAAGCATAAAGCTGTTTATTTCTACAATTGTCTATACCCCCAAGATCACAAACACTAATTAATCTTGTCTTGGTCAACTTTACGTATGATTATGTAAAATGCAATTGACCTTTTATAGTATGCCTACATACAAAACCAAGT